GCGTGTTATATATGGTCTACTTCATTGAGAATTTATTAGGTTTTAAGAGGTCCTTATTTAATTTAAAAATAATTGCATTATTCTTATTAAAGACATAAATTCTCATTAATTATTTATTTCTACTTACATATATTTTTAATTATAATGTTACAAATAATGTTTAACACTTAATTACATTTTATTAAAATTAACAAACGTACACAATTAATATAATACAAATTAAAATAATATAAATAGTAAACACATGAAAATTTTATTATACTTCTTTTCTTAAATTATCTCTTTAAAATTAATAATATAAATTCCATACAAAAGAAAATCTTTTGTCAAAAAGAAAAAAAATACTTATATATTTTTTTTTTTGTTTTTCTTTTTTCTTTTCAACCTTTTTTTTTTTTTTTATCTGACGCTTGTATGGCTATTTATTTTCCATATAGCTATCACGTTTTTTCCTCAAAAAGTTTAATAATCCTTTTTATTCATCATTCTACTATAATATTGAACAGATTAATAAAAAGCATGTAGAGTTAACTCTTCTAGTATAATGAATTTAAATTTAATTTTAATGCTATTAACCAGAAAACTGTTTTATATATAGTTGATTTCATTGACAACTTATTGTTTTTAAAAGACATTAATTTAATAAAAACCGTATATTTTTATTAAAAATTTAAATCCTTATTAATTATAGATTTAAATTACATATACTTATAACATTATAAGTAATATTTAGCAATTTAAGTTCATTGCTCATACATTAAAAAAAAAATTAATTAACCCCAATACAAAATAAATTATATGAATTCTACAGAACATTAAAATTTTATTATTTTTAATATAAAATTTACTTATAAAAATTCGAAAAAATATTCATTACAAAGAAACTTTTTATCCGACTACTTTTCTTCTATTTTTTCCTCTATTAATTACATCACTTAAAAAATGAATATAGTTTTTTTTATATATTTAAATTAAAGAAAAGAAACAAAAAAAATCAACCAAATTTTTTTTTTATCTAGTATATAAGAAAAGGAGCCATTAACATTTTTGAAAATAAAAAGTTATAGTTGTATAGAAAATAAATAGTCAGCCTTTCAAGAACAAGATAAAAGAAAAAAAAAAAATTAATTTTTTTTTGCTTCATTTTTGTAAATTTAAAAGACATATATACATTTATTTTTTTGAAATGATTTTTTTTTTGTCGAAAAATTAAAATGAAAGGTTGTATAAAAAAGTTTCTTGTATTATATTTTGTTTAAATTTATATAAGAAAATTTTATATTAATAATAATAAAATTTTCATATTTTTTAATATTTATATAATTTAATTGATATTTCATTATTTAATTATATTTGTTAAAATTAATGGAATTGAATTGCCAAACAATATTCATAACATTATAAGTAAAATTAAATTAATTAAAAATTAATAATGAACAAGGATATAAATTTTTAATAAAAATAAGTATTTTTACCAAAGTAAATAAATGCCTCTTAGGAATAATAATTGATTAATAATATATAATATATAAACACAGTTTACTGGTTTTTAGAATTAAAACTAAATATAAATTCTTTAAATAAATATAGAAAACTCTACATACTTTTTATTAAGCTGTTTGTTCAATATTACAAAAAAGTTATTGAATAGACATTTAATAAATCAACCAGCAAGTTAACAAAAAGAATGTAGAGTCACTATTACGAGTTTTATTGATTTAAGTAACACATAAATGCTATAAATCAGAAACTGTATTTATGCAATTTACATCATTGATTATTTATTTACTTTAGTAAAAATCACTATATTTTTATAAAAAGCATAAATCCTCATTGATTATTAGTTTTTAAGTACAAAACATATAATTACTATTTATAACGATTAGTGTTTAAAAACTCAAGTCAGTTCTTTAAAATAATAAAAACACATACTTATATTATTTACTGGTAACAACGAAAATTTAATTCTCAAAAATAGAAAATTTTCTTTGATTAAAATATTAAAAAAAAATTTTAAGATTTTTTTGAATAAAATTCATATCTTTCCAAAATTAAAAAAATAATCAGTAATTTATATTAAGAAAAATATATAAAAAAACATTAACTATTTTTTATTTTTTATTTATTTTTTTTAGTTAGCTTTTGCGTATGGACAACTATATATTTTCCATATAGAAATTTTTTCATTATAAAAAAAAGTTAGTAAAACCTTTTACTAACAATATATACATTATCTATTGCTATAGATGTTATTTTTACACTAC